ATATATATATATTATTTTAGTTTTTAAGGAAACATTTAATTCCTTGCAAAGAATACTGAATTTTTGTTGATTTTTTGATTGCAATAAAACTCAAAAAAAAAAATGTAATAATAAACACTTAGCTTTAATGGGTATGACTATATTTAACAAAAAATATTCAAATATGTGATGCACGGTGAAATCTTTCTAATATGTAGTCATTAAGTATCAGATAATGTCCCTTAAATATTATACAGTAAAACCCGCTTAAGTACCTCACGAAAAATGTCAGCTCGTACCCTCGATGCGGGTACTTAAGGGAACATAATTATTGATGTAGTTACATCTTTTTGTTAACTTACATAAATATGTAAATCCTTGAATAAAACATAAACATTTAACGAAGTATACGTATTTATTTAAGATTTTTCAATTAAAATACAGTTCCCTAACAAATACCATGTAAACCTAAGCTTAAGATTTTATAGAACACTTAAAGAAAAAAATGCATCAAAATTTAAATTTTTTTTCTCAGATGTGTTTTTTGAGTATACAGTTTTATAGCCAGTGGCGGATACACGGGGGGCGGGGGGTTTGGGGCTGTTGTCGCTGTGCTAACAGTTTTTCAAACCCTGATAATTTCTATAGATATTCGCACGATACAAACAATTTTTACGGTATTTTCCCCGTGACAAATAAAAAGTTTTTGACAATTGGAAGAAATACAACTTCGAAAGTCTTTTTTAAACGATTTTTCATTTTGCTACGTTAGAGCCGTTGCCGAGAAACTTACGGATACATATACATATACACAAAAATTGCTCGATTAAGGTAATTAGAATAAGGGGCAAAATTTCCCGCAAAATTTCCCCACCCCATCAGAAAATTCTGGATCCGCCGCTGTTTAATGTGCAAGTTTCAAGTGGCTAAAAATTACCGTTGATTTTTTATAATTTTTTTGCCGAAGGTGTGTAACGCTTCCACTGAGACTCAAAATATGTAAATATTTAAAGGAATTTTAAAAGAGCATTTAAAAGGGGAAATTTATAGGTAAAATGGTTAATGGGGTACGACAAATTTAGGTACTTAGGCGGGTTGGGTAAATAAGCGGGGAGGTACTTAAGAGAGGGATTTTCTTCAGATTACATTCAAAAATTCACATTGCCCAAAAATGTTGGTTACTTAAGCGGGTTTCACTGTACGTCTACCAGACGTATCGTTATGAATTAACGGGTAAAAAATAACGTTATTGTTACAACGCAACGTCAGATGCCGTTGTAAGCGATAATTACTAAACACTTAAGCACCAAAAAATGCATACCTGTGCCGCACTCCAATTGATGGGTCAAGGTAGAGAGCACAAAGAAATCTCGCTCTTTTACTTTGCAGCTATCGCCGTGTGCAGATCAACGGGTGCGTTAAAGCCCAAATGTAAGCAAACGCAATGTAATTTGATAAAATGTTAAATAAAATTGTTAAACTGAACTAAATTGTAAATTAAATATTTTAATAAAACTAATTACAGATTTTCGCAGACATCAGCGCAAAATATTGCTTTTTTTTAACAGCAGCAGCCGACGTTCCAACATTCGAAAATATTTGCTTATAACTACTTGCAATTATTAGTTGGAAATTTGCACAATACGGCGATGCCCACACCGGGAACGGATATCACGGCAGATGTCGAGTTAACGTCAAGCATTACGACATCGCCAACGACGGACACGTGTGTGCAGCTCACACCAAATTCGAGGTTAGAGACGATATCGCCGGATCAGGTACAAGCTTCTGAATGTGCTACGTCTGCTGATGGGTTCGCACAACTAGGAGCAAGCACGGGTCATAACCACGACGGTCTGGCGTATCAAGGCGCAACTCACGCGTTATGTGCTACATCAGAAGATGGGTACGCACCGACGAGTATAAAGTTGGGCAGCATAACCTCAACTTGGGTCACTGGGTTACCTCGTGCTCCCGGAGATCAAGGGCGGTCGCAGGCGCACTTTACTTCCTTTTCCGAAATGGAGGCACCATTCCGTAATAGGTCTAACATTACAACGTGGGCAGGGCATCCAGTTAACACACATTGTACTTCTGCAAAAATGCACGCGCCGTTTTATTCTCCGGTTTCAATTTAGTTGTTGTAATACGCATTTCAATTCAGGGCATTGTTATGCCCCGCAGTACTTAGACAGTTAGAAGCAGATCAGCCTTCACGGGCGCAGCTGCACTCAACCTCTTGGCAGCAGGCTTTGTCCTCTCATGTGAATGCACATACGGGTTACGGTTATGCTGCGCGAGGTGTGGGTGGTACTCCATACGTCAATTCAGTTTTGACTAGTGGCCTGGAAGCGTCAACCAGGGTGCCTAATAGCTACGACTCTTATCGACATTGGCCGCAAGTATCCAACAGTCATATTCCTACTGCGCCAGCGGCGACATGCGAAATGAGGTTATCCTCTGCACAAATAGCATCGCGACAGGTCATCAACAAAGATCTCCCGACATTCTCCGGCAAACCAGAGGAGTGGCCGCTATTTATTGCCAGCTTCGAGCAGTCAACGGAGCAGTGCGGCTTCACGGATGCTGAGAATATGATTCGGCTACAGCGATGTTTGAAAGGAGTTGCGTTGGAGTCAGTGAGAGGTGAACTAATGACGCCTGCAACCATATGGCAGGCCATTGAAACTTTAAGGATGCTGTATGGGCGCCCAGATGTCATATGTCATTCACTGCAACGCAGGTTGCGTCAAGAGCCGTCGGTAAGGTATGACAAGTTAGAGACCCTGATCCAATTTGCACTTGCGGTACAAAACTACTGCTCCACTCTGAAGGCCATTGGCCTCTCTGCTTACTTAAATGATCCGATGCTAATTTCTGAGCTCCTTTGCAAATTACCAAGCGATTTGAAGTTGGAGTGGGGTCGCTATAGGGTTTCACTGCTCCATGTCGACATCGGCGAATTTGACTGTTGGCTTTTCAAATTGGCGACGTGCGCTAGTCAAGTTGTCTCCGTAAGTAACCCCGTCGATGAGGTTAAAATTAACAGAAATCAGACTAAAAAAAGGGTGCTCTTACACGACGTGGTTCCCTCCGACAGCGCCACAAATTCTCAACTTTGCTGCGTTAAGTGCAGCAGCGTTCATCGACTTGAGAAGTGCAAAGAGTTTTGCGCTTTGTCAACCAACGACAGATGGAGCTTTGTTCGAGACAATAAGCTGTGCATTAGATGTCTCAGGAAACATTTCCTGAAAAACTACCGATTGCATAGCCATTGCGGTGTTAACGGTTGCACAAAGCCGCATCATGTTCTGCTTCACTCGCATTCTTGCTCCACATCAAATGATAATGCAGCCGTGATGTTGCATAAGGAGGAGCACACTAGGAAGACGTTGTTGCGTTACGTTCCAGTAGTACTTTATGGCAGATCTAAGTCTATAAAGACATATGCGTTGATAGACGAGGGATCCACATGCACACTCTTGGAGAACCATATCGCTGAGGAGATGGGTTTGGATGGCCCATCAGATGAGCTGTGCCTAAGATGGACGGGTGATATAACGCAGGTGGAGCTTAAGTCAAAAGATGTCACTGTCGGGCTCTCGTCTACACATGAAATGTCGCCTCGGTTTAATCTTCGAAACATACGCACTGTAACCAACCTTGATCTTCCGAAGCAGTCGCTGTCGCTGGAGGTACTCTCGTCGCATCGGCATTTGCACAACTTGCCTATCGAGCCATATACTGGAGTACGCGCTACACTGCTTCTTGGCGTCGATAATGCAAAGCTCGGTGTTCCACTCAAAGTGAGGGAAGTAGAAGCGGCCCAGCTTATCGCAACTAAATGTCGGCTCGGTTGGTCAGTATATGGCCGCGGCGAGGAGGTTAATGCCTTTACGAATAGGGTGATGCACATCTGCGACTGTGTGCCAACTGAGCGTATCGATGAAATTCTAAAGGCTAACTAGGCGTTGGAAGCAGTGGGCATTAGCTTGAGGGAAGAACCGCTAAAATCAAAAGCAGACGAACGGGCGCTCGCTATTATGCAATCGACAACGAAGTACCTATCGAATGAAAAACGCTGGGAAATGGGTTTGCTATGGAAGTTCGATAAAATCGATTTTCCAGATTCATACTCGATGGCGTTGCGACGTCTCAGCTGTTTGGAAAAACGCATGGCACGAGATCTAACTTTGCGGAATTTTCTCAACAAGCAGATTCGTGAGTATGAAAACAAAGGGTACATTCGAAAATTAACACAAAATGAGATATCTCATGGAGGAAGGTCATGGTTCGTTCCAATTTTTACGGTCACAAATAAAAACAAAAACAAAACGAGGCTCGTCTGGGATGCGGCAGCCACTGTCGACGGTGTCGCTCTCAACACCTATTTGCTGAAAGGCCCAGATCTTCTGGCGTCTCTGGTTGGAATACTTATCCGTTTTCGCGAACGACCTTATGCCATCACCGGAGACATTCGCGAAATGTTCCACCAAATTCGGGTGCGTAGAGAGGACCAAAGCGCACAGCAGTTTTTGTGGCGATATGGGGATCGCTCTAGAGATCCTGATACCTACGTCATGGCGGTGATGACGTTTGGTGCTGCATGTTCTCCATCATTGGCAAATTTCATCAAAGACAAAAATGCCTCGCGTTTCGTGAACGAACATCCAAATGCAGTTGATGCGATTCATCGGAACACCTACGTAGATGATTGGTTGCAGAGTGTAGACACGGAGCAAGAAATGATTGACTTGGCGTCGCAAGTCAAGTATATACACGGCGAAGGCGGTTTTGAGATGCGCAACTGGCTGTCAAACTCTAGAAACGTGCTGCAATCAATTTCCGGAACTGTTAAGCAAACGGGTAAGCTCCTGCAAGATTCGTCTACGATATACGAAAAGGTTCTGGGTTCATGGTGGCTACCACAGTCGGACGAGTTAACTTTCTGCGCAAAATTTTAAAAATCCGTTTTAAATAACAACCCATCTGCCATCAAAAGGGGAGTTCTTCGGGTAATTATGTCTGTTTACGATCCTCTAGGCTTAATGGGCTTCTTTATGATTCCATCAAAAATCGTAATGCAAAATATTTGGCGATCTGGTGTTGCCTGGGATGCGCCTGTGCAGAAGGAAGAACAAGAAGCATGGCAGTCATGGGTTAAATCGTTGCCACGAATACATGACGTTCGTATACCTCGTTGCTACCCCTTGGCCAGCCTTAGTCGCGACGTTCAGCTTCATATATTCTGTGACGCAAGCAACGCGGCCTACGCGGCAGCTGCTTATCTAAGAGCCACTGTCAGTGGGAAGGTGAAATGTTGTTTGGTGGCCTCGAAATCGCGAGTGCCGCCACTGAAACCAGTTTCTATACCGCGGCTAGAGCTGATGGGTGCCATTTTGGGCCTGAGGCTCGCAAAATTTATTAGAAATGAACTGACTTTACCGATCAGTGAGGAAGTGTACTGGACTGATTCAAAAAACGTTCTCTACTGGATTCGATCAGACACTCGCAAGTTTAGTCAATTTGTTGGTGTAAGAGTCGGAGAAATTTTGGAGTCATCCAACATCAACAGCTGGAGGTGGGTGCCCTCAGTTGACAACGTTGCCGATGATGCTACGAAATTGAAGCAGTGGACAAAGCTAGATGGCGACTTGCGTTGGTTCCAAGGTCCACAATTCTTAACCTCACCACCATCCGAGTGGCCAGAGACGATTTTAATGGACTCTACAGATCCCGAATTAGTTCACCACATTGAGCTTAGTACCACCCTTAGCTCCGCATCCTTTACAGAAGTTATACCTGATGTGGCCAGATTCAGTAAGTGGGAGAAGCTCCGTGGTGCAACTAGATGCGCCTTGCGCTTCCTTCGATTAATAAGCAGAATACCCGCTAAATCACAGTTCGTGCAGAAGATGTTACAGGACACTACAACTAACAGTGCCGAAGTTTTAATTATTCTTATGTGCCAGAGTGAGGTCTTTGGGGAAGAAGTTAAATGTCTACAGCGAGGCCAACCGGTAAGTCGAAAAAGTTCTATTTTCAAATGTTCGCCTTGTACAGATGAAATGGGATTGCTCAGAATCAAAGGGCGAATCGATTCGATAGACGGAATTCCCGTCAGCCTGAAAAGACCCATAATTCTGCCTCCACACCATCCAGTGACGCTTCTAATCATCGATTTTTTTCCATCGTAAATACCACCATCATCACAGCGAAGTTGTGGTAAACGAAATCCGTCAAAAATATTGGTTGAGTGGATTAAGAGCATTAGTTCGCAGCGTTGGAAGAAAGTGCCGAGTTTGTCGAATTCGCAGGGCAGCACCACAGCCACCAGAAATGGGTTCTCTGCCACCTGAACGCCTCGCGTTGAATACGCGCCCATTTACTTACACTGGTGTGGATTTCTTTGGACCTATCGACATCGTTGTTGGTAGACGCCATGAGAAACGCTGGGGTGTATTATTTACGTTTCTCACTGTACGCGCTGTGCATATTGAGATAAGCCACTCCCTCTCCACAGATGCATTTTTACTCATTCTGAAACAGTTTGTCTGTCGTCGTGGTGCACCTAGGCGAATTATCTCAGATAACGCCACAAACTTTCGAGGCGCGAGCCGTATTCTAAAGGCGGAAATGGAGAGACTTTCCTCTGATGAGCTTCAGCAAAAGTACCCAGAGGTGGAATGGCGTTTCATACCCCCAGCTGCACCGCATATGGGCGGAGCATGGGAGAGGATGATTCGGAGCGTGAAATCCATTTTGTCGGACATACTCTGCGAGAATATCACGCACGAGCACACTCTGCGAGCAGCGCTAGCAGATGTCGAGAACATCCTAAATTCTAGGCCTCTGACATACATTCCTCTGGATACAGCAAATGACGAGGCGCTCACTCCGAATCATTTTTTGCTGGGCGGTTCAAGTGGCCTACGAGAACTCAGCATCGAAGACAGCAGCGGTGCCGCACTTCGAAAAAACTTTAGAATCGCGTCGCAGTTGGCTGACCAGTTTTGGAGACGGTGGGTGAAGGAATATCTACCTAACCTAACTAGACGTGCAAAATGGTATCGACCTCCACCAGAACCTATCGACACCGGCGACGTGGTAATCGTCGTCGATGAAACTAGCAAACGAAACACCTGGACTAAGGTAAGGACAGTAAAAAATGGTGGTGGGTATTATTCACCTACATGATTGATAGGGCCATATCAAATGCTTGGCGATTGCATGTACATTCCAGATCACGTGCCTGAAAAACTTCCGAAGCGAGTACGATGTGTCATTTGCCATAATAGAAGCCGCTGGGGCTGTAAAAAATGCAAGAAAACCCTGTGCATTGAAAAACCGTGTTTTAAAAATTATCACTCTTAAGTGGCCACTGTGCCAATTTGGGTACACACCTTTAAAATACTGAGCAAAAAAATGTTTCTAATTTTTTCTTCTTCACACATTTAAATGTATCACATTGAATTAATAAATAAACAAATTTTCAAAAAAATTCTTGTAGTTTTGTTTTGACCATTAATGGGTTAATGGTGCATATACGGAACATGTGAGTAACGAGATTATTATGTGAGTAACGATTCGGTACTTCGAGTCAGGGGTTGTACCCGTTACTCAGTAACAAATACATACGGTTTGCTACAGCTTACGAATTGAATATGCGCCATCTGGGAAGACAATACCTGTAATATTTATTGCATGTGTTGGCACTATATCCAAGCACAAACGCGTGTTAAGCAAACAGTGAAACAATTTGTTATTCTCTGAGTTTGCGAATAAAACTTCACACTTAGCGAAATTGGCCCAATTTTATATAACCCTGCCTGAAATGAAAATTGTTTCCGCGATAAGGCTAGTAGCCATATCTAACAGATTTTGGATCGCTTACTAAAAAAAAGGAAACATATATATATGAATTTTAAGAAAACAAGGCAAATAGCGAAATCGGCTAAAAACGGCTATTTTTTTACAAAACGGCTACCAAATCTGCTGCCGGCTAAACCGAAATTCGTCCGGCTGTTTGCTATCGCATCGCTACAAAAAAATGTTTCTCATAAAAAGTCCTTTAAATACGCCGATTTTTCTTGGGTTTTAGTGGTTTTTCAAATTCAAAACTTGGCAACACTGCTTAAGTTCCATCCTTAAGCTAAGAAACTGTGTACCAACTTTTGAAAACATTATTTTAGGAGAGTAGACGTTTTCAATAATATAAAGCAACTTTAAAAAGTAATTCCAAAAATTTTAATGCATCAGTCACCTCCGTGAAGTTGGCACCCGACCTTGATGCATTTTGATAAAATAACTAGAATATGATAGATTTAACTCTCAGGAGGATTGTAGTAAGTTTCTTTTTGTTTGTAGTTGAAAAATAAGTGCGTAATGCGTTTTTAAAAAAATTCATATGAAGCTTTTTACAGCTACAGCTTCAATTTTAATAAATTCAGGTCCAGCATCGTTTGTAGTTGATTGTAGTTAAAATTTTTTTTTTCGTTGAAAAATAAGCGCGTAATGCGTTTTTTTTTTAAAATTCATATGAAGCTTTTTACAGCTACAGCTTCAATTTTAATAAATTCAGGTCCAGCATCTTTTGTAGTTAAAATTTTTTTTTTTTTAGTTATAAAATAAGTGCGTAATGCGTTTTAAAAAAATTCATATGAAGCTTTTTACAGCTACAGCTTCAATTTTAATGAATTCAGGTCCAGAATGGTTTGTAGTTGATTGTTGTTAAAAAATTTTTTTATTAGTTGAAAAATAAGTGCTTAATGCGATTTTAAAAAAAATCATATGAAGCTTTTTACAGCTACTGCTTCAATTTTAATGAATTCTGATCCAGAATCGTTTGTAGTTGATTGTAGTTAAAAATTATAATTTTTTAGTTGAAAAATAAGTGCGTAATGCTTTTTTTTAAAAATTCGTATGAAGCTTTTTACAGCTACAGCTTCAATTTTAATTAATTCAGGTCCAGAATCGTTTGTAGTTGATTGTAGTTTTAAATTTTTTTTGTTTAGTTGAAAAATAAGTGCGTAATGCGTTTTTTTTTTAATTTATATGAAGCTCTTTACAACTTCAGCTTCCGTTTTAATGAATTCTGGTCCAGAATCGTTTGTAGTTGATTGTAGTTTACATTTTTTTTTTAGTTCAAAAAAAGTGCGTAATGCGTTTTTTTTTAATGTATATGAAGCTTTTTACAGCTACAGCTTCAGTTTTAATGAATTCTAATCCAAAATCGTTTGTAGTTGATTGTAGTTTAAAATTTTTTTTTTAGTTGAAAAATAAGTGCGTAATGCGTTTTTTTAAAAATTCATATAAAGATTTTTACAGTTGCAGCTTCAATTATAATGAATTCAGGTCCAGAATCATTTGTTGATTGTAGTTTTAAATTTTTTTGTTTAGTTGAAAAAGAAGTGCGTAATGCAATTTTTAAAAAATTTATATGAAGCTTTTTACAACTTCAGCTTCCGTTTTAATGAATTCTGGTCCAGAATCGTTTGTAGTTGATTGTGGTTTACATTTTTTTTTGTTCAAAAAAAGGGCGTAATGAGTTTTTTTTTAATGTATATGAAGCTTTTTACAGCTACAGCTTCAGTTTTAATGAATCCTGGTCCAAAATCGTTTGTAGTTGATTGTAGTTTAAAAATTTTTTTTTAGTTCAAAAATAAGTGCGTAATGCGTTTTTTTTTAAATTCATATGAAGCTTTTTACAGCTTCAATTTTAATGAATTCAGGTCCAGAATCGTTTCTAGTTGATTGTAGTTTTAAATTTTTTTAGTTTAGTTGAAAAATAAGTGAGTAATGCGTTTTTAAAAAAATGCATATGAAGCTTTTTGCAGCTACAGCTTCAATTTTAATGAATTCTGGTCCAGAATCGTCTGTAGTTGATTGTAGTTAAAAATTATTATTTTTTAGTTGAAAAATAAGTGCGTAATGCGTTTTTTTAAACATTCATATGAAGCTCTTTACAGCTACAGCTTCAATTTTAATGAATTCAGGTCCAGAATCGTTTGTAGTTGATTGTAGTTTTAAATTTTTTTTTGTTTAGTTGAAAAATAAGTGCGTAATGCGTTTTTTTTTTAATTTATATGAAGCTTTTTACAACTTCAGCTTCCGTGGTCCAGAATCGTTTGTAGTTGATTGTAGTTTACATTTTTTTTTTTAGTTAAAAAAAGTGCGTAATGCGTTTTTTTAATGTATTTATATAAAGCTTTTTACAGCTACAGCTTCAGTTTTCATGAATTCTGGTCCAGAATCGTTTGTAGTTGATTGTAGTTAAAAGTTATTTTTTTTTAGTTGAAAAGTAATTGCGTAATGCTTTTTTCTTAAAAACTCATATGAAGCTTTTTACAGCTTTATATGAAGCTTTTAACAACTTCAGCTTCCGTTTTGATGAATTCTGGTCCAGAATCGTTTGTAGTTGATTGTAGTTAAAAAATATTATTTTTTAGTTGAAAAATAAGTGCGTAATGCGTTTTTTTTTAATTCAGTTGGAGCCTTTTACAGCTACAGCTTCAGTTTTAATGAATTCAGGTCCAGAATCGTTTGAAGTTGATTGTATGTAGCTGTAAAAAGCTTCATATGAATTTTTAAAAAAACGCATTACGCACTTCTTTTTCAACTACAAACAAAAAGAAACTTACAACAATCCTCCTGAGAGTTAAATCTATCATATTCTAGGTATTTTATCAAAATGCATCAAGGTCGGGTGCCAACTTCACGGAGCTGCATCAGTCCGCTGTTGAAACATTCATAACTCCTAAACAACAGGAGTTACAATACATTTTTGTATATATTAAATAATGCCTTATACTTATGCTTTCAGATGTAAGAAGAAAAACTATCCTTAAATTGTATTCTCGTGAGATTCAGCGATATTTAAAAAGCAGTGTGAGCCAAAATGTAATGTAACAGTCCGCGTTTTGGGCCATATGCGAATTAAAGTCGGTTTTGTTTTTTGCTTTTACTTGTTGAATAGCAATAATGAGATCATTTCCACTTTCAGTGTTTAAAGAGTGAAAGACTTGTGTATTTGCATTTCATTTTAAAATTACTTCTAATTTGGAGCTCACTTTAAAAAATTTGAATTCGAAGTCTATTTCGCTCTTTGC